AATAATATTATCTCTTGGTCAGTTGAGGCCAGTGTTTTCATAGTTTTAGGAATTTACAATTTACTTCACGTAATCAATATTTAATATTACATTTAAAAACTACTGAGGTTTGTAATGAAACAGCAGCAGACTGGTCAGGAAACAAATGCATGTGTTTTTCACATGCATTTGTTTCCTGACCAATTTGAGTCTTACACACCATTTTTATTGGCGTGACAGACAGTCCCTTGGTTTCAGCACAGAGGAATCAGTCACGTGGTCCTGTAATGCGTGGCTGTGGCTTTTCAACGAGTAGTTATACTTGGAATAGTGAGATCGTTCTGTGAAGTCTGCGAAATGCCCAGGAAACTTCTGGTCAACTGAACTTCTGGAAGGAGCTATCACGGCTTGATTATTGAAACATTGTCTTATGAACACCATCTATTTTGGTAAACTTAAGTGGTGTTTGTATTACGTTTTGGTATAGTCTACTATAACAATTTTAAATTAAAAGGTTAAATCAGTTTAATAAAAAAATAATGAAGAGCTTCTAAAGTAACATTTCTGAACAAAATTAATTATGATTTATTCATTTAGCTTGTATTGTATGAGTATACAAAAAGCGAGATCAGGACGATTCATCATTTTCTAATTTTAGTTTTTTTTGGATCTACTGTTATAAAAGTATTATACTTCGATTAAACGCTTAATAAATCACTTTAGACTAAGAATGAATCGATTATTATAACTAGTTTCCTTTTATATAAAACATTTAATGAGTTGCATCCCCTGAAGGAGGGAACATTCATTAAAAAATGCAATTTATCAAACCCACTAACCTGTATGTTCACTGGTTTGGAATTTACTTTTCTTTACAGTTAAAGAACTTTGTGGGAACAATAGAATTATATTGAAGGCAACAGAAAGTTCCCGCTTTTTTCTTTCAAGCATAATTAATCGAGTTACTTCAAAGAAGTTGTATACCTTAATTACTTTATTATTATAACATTTTTGTCAGCACTACTTATTACGGGGCTGCTTATTTATTCAGTAGGCTTGGTCTAGTGGTTAATATGTTCGAGTGCAGGTCTTGGGATTTTTTTTATAGAACAGGGGGCAAACGGGCAGGAGGCTCACCTTATGTTAAGTGAAGTTGTAAACAACTTTATATTTATTATCAATTTAACAACCAAAGACCGGAACAGAGCCCTTAGATACTCAATAGTGATACTGACAGCGATCTCTATCACAATACAGTTTTTGTTCCGCATGATTCCAAGGTTTCGACATCAGAGCTACAGATTTTGAGAAAAGTACATCGGATCTCATACAAAAATATCGGTTCACTCGTCGAGCTGGTATAAAAATACTATAATAAATATTACATTAAGTTTATGTCATATATTTAATATTAGTACACGACCTCCAACGGAGTGTAAAAAATTCTTCCATTTGTCTTCGCTACTATTTACCAATCTTCCCCGCTATCTCTTTTATTTCATCTTCCCAGGTTTGTGGCGTCGTCTTTTCTTTTTTCTTTCCAAGTAAGGGTCATTATGACCCATCTGTCATCACAATACGTCGGTAATGTGACCGGCCTATTTCCGCTTTAACTTGTTTGAATGTGTTACGTCTGTTATGTTAAGGCTTCGTTTTAAACTGTTTTTTACATTGTCTTTAAGTTTCAACTGAAAAATAGAACTGGTATAACATAAGTATCTCAACTGTAGAGTATTTCGGAAAGGTGGTTCTTTTCAGACTAGTGCAGCAATGACTTTAGTTTAATAACTGTCTGATTAAGTTGCAATATACTTAATTGCAATAAAATTTTAGTTCAAAACATAGAGTCTTATTTAAATTTTCAAGAGATTACCACGCGCACCTTTTATAATTTATATTTATAAAACTAAATATTGTTATGTGTGGTTTACTTATTTTATTGTCTGTGTTACCCTAAGTTCTCTCGTAGGACCAATTACCTGCCGACTTCTAAAATTTTCGTCGCATTTTTCATATGGTATCGTGGCACTGTACAAAAACTACCAATTTAACGCAGAAATATGTATATTGGGTAATCAGCATACTTTCTATGAACCAGAATTAAAAAAAACAATTGTTTACAGTCGTGATACAAAAAAGTTAAAAGTCCCCTGCAATTCTCGAAAACATTTTAATAATTCACAGATCATTTTCAGATTTCAGCCAACACTGCTTACATATTATACAACACATCAAATAATAAAAAAAACAACTGTTAGGTTGTCTCTACTGTAGTAGTCTGAGGTGCAGATCGGTATTGCCAGTTGCAGAGCTACTGTAGGTATTATATTATTTCTGCAAGTGCAATACACACACACAAGATTTAACTCTCCACTACTCTGGACATTGCTTCTTTTGAGAACGAACTTAATCAATATTTTGCTGTATCTGATATTTGTGATTATATGTGGAATACACAGATATAACATATGTACATATAAATCCAGTAATTAGTTCAAATATATTAGGTAAGGATAGTAAAACCTATAATCCTTTCATAAAACTTAAAATAAGTAAGTAAGGGTGAGAAGAAAAGCAAAGAAGAATATAAAATTAACATGTTTGTTTTCGTTTTAGTATTTTTATACGAAAATCATTTCTGAATGGCGGTTGTTAATTTATCCCATAATTAACAAACCTAAAGTAGAAGCCATTCATTCTGACCCAAAGTTTACTTTGCCCTTGTTAATTAAAATCTTTAATTTATCCTCACTACTGGCAATTATAATTAAATATATACATTATAAGGTCGTGATCATTGTTAATTTTATCTTTATATAACATTCAAATGTTAGAGAATTATTGCCTTTAAAATCCTCGATCAGCGCAGCAACCCTGTAACTACCAATAGCTATAGCGATGTATTTATATTTACAGAGTACCGAACGCTTGCTATAAAGAATACATTGTAATTTTTAACTGAAAGAAATATTTTTTAGTTTCTTTAATAGCTTATATATATTAATACTTTACTAGTAAAAGTGATCACAACGATACATGCCATATTAGGGAAACGAATTAGCTGCTTTAATTTTTTCGTGTTTCGATTGTTTTTTAATAATTGTTTACATAAAGTAAATTAGTTTCTCAATGTAAAATTTAAATTGTTATTTGAACTGAAATAATAGTACAAAAATATTAAATAAAAAGCGGGGCTTGAGCTGAAGCGTTTTCAACGAAAGCTGTGAGTGTTTTGCATGTCATGTTTTATTTTTAAAGGTAGCTCTTAGAAAAAATTCATTTTACTTGAATTAAATAAATTTTGTCTTATATTTATTAAATAGGTTAATTACATTAAGTAGGTTATTTAAACTAGATCATCCCAATCATCGACAAAGATCGTTCCTGAAAATTTTTGCTTTTGCATTAAAAAATATAATTTTTCATTACTTTTTTCCAAAGCTTATTGACGTCAAGTGATTATTTGATATTTTACAAATAAAAAAATATTACACAAAAACTCACTAGAAGTAGGGCATATAAAAACTAGGACACTATAGAATAAAACTAAAAATATTGGAAACAATTTAAATAGGTTGATTCTTTGTCTGTTTTTTTCTTGCTTTATTATGATACTTATGGTATGGTATGTGGACTCAGTTCAAGTCCTTTGCGTAAATGATATAGAATACGCTGTGCAAACAAATGTCAGCTCTAGGATTAGGGGCTTAAGACAAAATCAGTTTTCGTCAGTCGTGACCCACTCACGCTAAACGATTGTATTAGAATAGTCACGAGAAAAAAAGTGATTTTGTCTAAAGTCCTGTAAAAGTTAAATGGACAGTACTGACATTCCCATACGTGTCCCAGTAATAACATTTGTTTGGCATTAGTGGGTCAGGTGTGTCGATAAGTGATTTTGTCTCAAGACCCAGTACTGTCTATAAGGCTAATACTTAATTTTTTAACCAAGCATATGCCTGTATTATTATTTTAGAAACATCTTCTAAAGTTGAAAACATTCCAAAAAGAAATGGAAAGAAGCATGGTGGAACACTGAGACATCGAAAAAGAGCAGAAGAGATAACATCAGCGACCAAAGTAGAGGACATTATAAAGAAAATAAGGCAATTGAAATGGCACTGACCCGGGCACATGAAGAGAGATAGAAGTTTGAAATGGACAAAAATAATTACAGAACGACAACCACGCGATGGAAAAAGGAAAAGAGGAAGACAGAGCAAGAGATGGGCAGACGATATAAAGAGAATAAGAGGCACAACTTAGACAAGAAGAGCATAACATCAGAAAATAATGGAAGCAGCTGGAAGAGGCCTATGTGTCATGTCACGCTGATAACCTAAAACGGGTCATTGATGTATTAGATTAAGTTTTATTTATGTATTAGAATTACTTATTATGTAACTTAAATAAGTGTTAATATATTATACTGGGTGTCAGCAATAAAGGCTTAATAATAAAAATAAAATGCATCAACGTTCTATAAAAAACCTAGCGTTCATAAAACATTTTTTAATTTTTCCTTCTCCTATATTCTTGATTAGATAAACAAGACCCTGTTGTTTAGAGCATTACCGTATTACTCAGCCTTGTTAGCCGTATTACCGCTCTCATCCTCCACAATTAGTACACAAATAGCGAAAAGCACTTAGCATCATGGTACCAATTATAAAATCTACGAACTATAGTCGGTGCTTGCTTTAAAATAAATTGAGGCAACATATTCCAATCTCGCCCAATTAGGCACGCGTGTTGCATGGATAAAATCAGCAGTTTAATCAGTTGTATTAAGTGTATTGTAACTGTAAATAAAATTTATTAATCGTATTTGCAGTAAGCTTCAATAATGAAGCGTAATAATTTCAAGATCCAATTGGCTTATTTTGTATAAAGCGATTTCAAAATGGCGAATACGAATCATAAAATGTCGAGATGTCTACTAATTGTTTTTACGTCAACTTTAAAACTTTCCATTGTGAAAATAGTATTATTTTAATTCAGAAAGCAACCTTTGACAGAGAATGGTACTTTTCCATGCAAGTAATTGTGCCCATATGATTTGTTAGTTTTTCGATATACATAATTATTAAATAATCAAAATTATAAATAAAATTCTGAGCTAAAAAGTTCTAACAATTTCAAATTTCACAGATCATTATGGAATGCACAGGTTTCAAGATTAAATTCATTTAAGTTTATTAAATGTCTTTGTCAACTTGACAGTTATCAGAAGAACTAGTTCTAGTTCGATTGGTAGTCGATTATAGAATGATATAAATACGAAGAATTCTATATATATACTACTACTAATAAATCTCGTGAGCGACGGTCATGGAAACTAATAATAAAATTTAGACAACTGTCCAAAGTGTCAAATGACAACTTATTTTCGTGTTGATAAATATAATGGCGTAATATAAAACAATAATGACGTAAATATAACAAGAAAGAAGTTTAGCACTGCTGTGAAATTTAGACCTTAAATCCCACGATGGTTATCTTTCCCCAGACTACACGATCGCGTTTTGTCCTTTAATAGTCTGTGGTTTTAAAAGTTACGTTTGTTTGTTGTTAAGTTAAAATAATGTATTCTTAGTTTTCTGCTAATGATTTTACATCCGATTCGGATTTTGCAGGATGATCGGATCAGATGATCCGATATAAAGAATATAGATTAAGTTGTTGACTTTGTTTGCAGAAATACCTCGATTTGAAGACAGTCTCAACAACCTCACTGTATCTTTGGGAAGGGAAGCAGTCTTCACGTGTGTTGTCAATGACCTTGGTTCTTATCGGGTAAGTATTGTAAATAATTTTCCTCGGTTATATTTACTTTTCGTATCCGTGATTTGATGTTTCGATCAAATTGCAGTGCCAGTCTGCCTTGTGATGTTTTTATTATGAACGGTAATAACAGTTAATATTTGTCCACTATGCGATCGTTGAACGTTAGATTGTTTGGCAATAATACATGCCACGCAAATCTTTAATATATGCAATCCAACGTAACACACGACTTAACTATTATATCTATTTTTACAAATAAAACGATTAAAATTCATTCAATCTCAGTACTACATAGGTATGTATAAAACAACCCATTGTTTAGACGAAAATATTTATCACGCTCTCCATCGATGCATTTTTCCGGAGATTTTATAAAGCGTCAACAAAATTCCATTGAAATGCCATTAAATATAGATTCCAATTTCAAAATTATTTTACATGGAATTTCAGTAAAAACACAAGTGAAAACCAGTTTTAATTGTTATGAAATTTTCATAACAATTTTTGCGCCGATAAATATTTTCGACCAAAACTATTTTGATTACTCGCGTTTTTATTATAACGTAACGAAAATTGTATTTTATTGTATTTTGCAATACAATAAAGGATTAAACTATCAAATATTGTTATACATACGCTTTTTCGTAAAATCTAAGTCTTTATTACTTATACTTATATTTCTAATATGATAATAATACGTAGTTTAGACTGGTGACCCCGCAATGGGAGTTAAAAGACACGACAGCAAAGGTCTCCTATGCTCTCTAATTATTTTCGTTATGAAACGTAGTGAAGCTAATAATAAATCTATTTAAATTATCTTACAACTTACAGAATAAATCAAGTCAAATTAACTTGTACAAGCCGAGGCTGTACCTTTTGCCTACAGGTTTTCTTAGTTTTATAAGCGCGGTGATTAAAACCAAGGCGGTTAATCGGGCCACACTCTTTAAGTGTCATTACCCGAAGACATATCATGTTATTACCATTACCTATAATGTATAATATTGTTATACACGAGATAATACATCCCCAAGGGAGTCGGTACCGAACAAGTTTAAGGAATTAAATATTATGACACTATCTGGTCAAGATATTCTTAAAATATAAACGATTTTAAAACAAAACTTTCACCATGTATAATACTCGAAACAGAACAAATCTAAGGGTACGACCAACCAGGCTCCAGAAGATAAACCAACCTCCTTATATGGAAATTGTATTCGTTTTTACAACCAACTCCCAAGCGAAATTAGAGAATTATCACTGAATAAATTCAAAACTCTCGTTAAACGAAAATTAATCAATAAAGCTTTTTATAAATTTGACCATTATTTAAATGATCCTAATCCTTGGGATTGATTTGCACCAGTTCAAATATTTATGGCTGCTCTGCCTAAATTATATAATTATTGTTTAACAGAATAAAACGATTAAAATTCATTCAATCTTAGCACTACATAGGTACGTATAGCTTCTTGTTTAGTAAAATATTCGCTCTCCTCGATGCATTTTTCCGGAGATTTTATAAAGCGTCAACAAAATTATTAAAAAAAAAATTCCAATTTCTATGACTCAAGTTTGGCGATTTAAAAGGTGGTGGAGATTTCATGCCAGTCTGCTTCCCCCCCCTTCGTCCCTGACTTGTGAACTGGTTGTAGACTCAATTTAACATCTGTGTTGATGTTCATAAGTGTACTTGCTTACCTATATGAATATAGTTAACTTGAGTTTTATTTCACATTAAAACACCCCCTGACCCAGGAACTAAACATAAAACTTTTTATTTTTTATGTATCCTTTATTATTTTAGTTTGTCCAATTTTTTTATCCTATTTGATATGTATTTTGCACTTCTTGCCTACCTACTAATTAATACATTTTTTTTTTCTCACGGTGGGTTGCTGGAAAGATCGCTGGAAAGCGATAAGGCGCCATTTTCCTCCTTTAATTTAATTATGTTCAATTTTAATTGAAACGAAATAAATATTGAGGTACTGTTAAAACGCTGATATGACGCGAACTATTTAAAAATGTAATAAAATACCAAATTAGGCGTTTCTTCATATCTTAGTTGCGACTGCCAGTAACGTATTACAATGCCCAGATTGTTACTCAATTTCGGTTACAGGTGGCGTGGTTACGCGTGGACACGCAGACGATCCTGACAATTGCCACGCACGTGATAACAAAGAACCACAGAATAGCGGTGAACCACAGCGACAGGCGCGTTTGGTTTCTGCATATCCACGATGTACGACAGTCAGATAGGGGCTGGTATATGTGTCAACTCAATACGGATCCCATGAAGAGTCAGACCGCGTATCTCGATGTTGTCGGTTAGTATAATTGATTTTTATAAAAACCCATCATGATTTGCTCCAAAGTTACTGGTGTATAAAGAAACAAACTTTTCTTGGTCTTGCAAGTTCAGCTTCCAAAACTTCTTCGGTTTCAGATAGCACCGCGTTTAATACGTCTTCTTCCAATCGCAAGCGCGCTTCTCGATGTTCGTCTAAACTTGCTGATCGACAGCTATCGACAACTTAATTTACTTACCAGAGCCACTAAACTAGAATTGGACACTACTTGCACTACACCTGCACTAATCATCCTCAATTACTAATCACTTGCACTCGCACTAATCAAAGTCCTTAAGAAAACAAATTACATCAAGTATATTAAATAATATAATTAATTGTGCCAATAATATATTTTATGCCTAAGGTAATGAATATATAGGGTGTCTCAGTAAGAGTGCACTTTTTAAAATTGTAATATTTTTGTTTTCCTGCAAGTGACGACTCTGAAATTTGACAGGTGTCACCTCTGTTTATTCCGATTATTAAAAATGGTGCGCTTTTTGAAAGAACAACAAGTTATAATTGTGAAAACTCATTACAAAAGTAACGATGAAAACGCTCGCAAACTTCACCAAATTTTCAGCCGAGAAAGTGCACCTAATGTGTCAACCATTCGAAGAGCGGTCAAAAAATTTTAAGAAACTGGGTTAATTATGGATAATAAGAATCTTTTGCGTCAACGTACCGGTCTGTCTCTTGAAAACATAGCTGCTGACTGCTGTAAACGAGAGTGTCGCCGAATACCCGAAAACATCAATTCGACGCAGCAAATTTTGACTAAAGACCTTCATGCGTACAAGATTCACTTAACTCAGAAGCTCAAACCAGCAGACCAAGGAAAGCACCGGCAATTTTCTCAATGAGTAATGGAGCAAAGGGAAGTCGATGCCAATTTTTCGAAAAAAGTCATTTTCTCCGATGAACAGAACACATTATCTCACGAAATTCTGATGTCAACTGGCCACCAAGATCGTGCGATTTAACGCCGTGCGATTTTTTGTTTGGGGTTTTGTGAAATCTCGAGTTTATGCGAATAAACCCGAAAGCATTCCTGAGCTCAAATCGGAAATCCAACGCGTCATCGGTGAGATACAGCCACATCTCTGTGCAAAAGTCATGGAAAATTTCATGAAAAGTGTAATGGCCTGTCATCGGAGCCGTGGAGGTTATTTGCCGGACATTTTATTCCATACTTAATCGGAACATGTCTTCTTTACAATGCAATAAAAATATCAGAACTCTGTCATAAAATACTTGTCTTTATTTAAAAATGAAAAAGTGCACTCTTACTGAGACACCCTATATATGCGCCTTTGCAAGTAATTGTTGATTTGTGCGGTGCGGTGTTTGGGTATTACTAGATAACACGCTCGCCGTGTTCGACGAGGGGATACCTGTTTTCGTTTGGTGACTATAATGCAAATGCTTTTATAAATATTATTTATAATTCTTATACAAATAAATCGATTTTCATCGCAATTTTCATTCATTCATGGGTAATGATTGACGGGTTGATCAGCTTATATAATATATAGCGGAAAAAGACGTAGTAAAATTCCCGTTAGAGTGTTAAAAACATTAACGCTGTTAATGTTTTTAAGCGCGTATTACAATATTCGTACCGTTGTGTTGAATATTGTAATACGCGTAACAATTCTTGTTTCGCCGGAAATCAAACTTGAGCAATCTGGGATAGACACCACGTGCATCGACTAAGCCACATAATAGGAAGTAATTCTCCAAAATTCATTTGTCAACACTATGTATAGACTAATTAGTTAAGTATCGGTCGCTTGGAGTAAATTCCATAATAAATACTCCTTATCTTTTATGTATAAACGCTTACAGAGCGTGCCATATATTATATCGGCATAATATAGAGCCTAATATATCACGTCGGCTCCCGAACATGATCCCGGTTAGTAACAAATAGTGCCGTGCGTATATGACCCTAAAAGCCTTACTTTTGACCGCACACAAAGTACTTTCACAAACATCAATTCATTTTGCCAATTTTAAGGCGAAGGTAAACTCAGGTTAGATTAGTTTAATTAGAAGAATTTGTATTAGCTTTCTTATATTTATCAAGATTTTGCTATACCGTACGGTACTACCCACTAAAGCGCAGCATACATAACTACAAGTGTATTAAGGATAAAAAAACGATGTTTGACAGGATATAGAATAAGAATAGATCAATAAGAAGAATGACCAAAGTAGCAAATGTTACAATAAAAATAAATAAACTAATGAGGAAATGGGCGTGGCACAAGGCAGAGAGTGGCACAGTGCAGACAGAAATGGCGGGATTTGGAATGGCCTTTACCAAAAACGGGCACACATACCTAGACAATGAGATGATAGAAATATAAATGGAAATTATCTGAAAGAAAAGGTTTTATTATTATTAATATACTTAAGCAGTAGTGTCGGTCAAGCGTGCTACTCCTAGTCGTATGATCGAATCACACATTTAAAGATGGATGCTTACTAAAAATGTATTGCACAAAACATTTCTTCTATGTGTATTAAAATGAAAAATTATTATAATAAAGTATAAATTTAACTATAAATTTTGTTAAGCCACCGCTTTAATACAATCGTTATTCGCACTTCATTCCCACATGTTTAAATTATTTTTAATCCCCGGGGTGAGCGCTCGACATAACTCTAACCTATTTCAATTTCCATGAAGGAATACTGACAGTTTTTTCGATATCCGACTATCGGAACACATTTTCAGTTTACGATTTCAATTCGCTGTTTAATTCTTCTCTATTTGCTGTAATTCTGCATTAGTTTAATAATAAATAATCTTTATTTCTTCTCTCACATATACATACAAGGTTATTATGATTAAACTAAGATGATAATATTAGGAAGTGTATGTGAGAGACTGGTCTCGGTAACAGGAGACCTGAGTGACAGATAGCCAGCTTCTCCACCACCGGACCGTAACACGCACAATCAGGTCATTGTCATAAGATACAATAGAAGAAATAAGTAAGTGCTAAAAGAAAACATTGCAAACGGAGTCGTAAAAATAAATTTGGTGTGTGTTGGTGTGTGTGTGTGATTATTTTCAACTTCTTTCGTTCTTTGTTTCAGTTCGTTCCGAATAACATAATAATTAATTTTGTAAAATATTGCTGACATATTAAGAAAAAAGCTCAGAGGAAATATTACACTTATAAGAATATAAGCAAGCTAACGGCAAATCTTGAATTATCCTAATTATTTTTGAAGTGAAACTTTTTTAGGCGCATGAGGGTATATTGTTTACGGATGAAACGCAATAATAATATTAGCGTCACGAAGATGTGCAGCGTTTTTGTCGAAGAAAAGGGAGAGAGCGATTAAGCCCGATTGAGAGAGTGAGAAGGGCGTATTACCTTATAGGAATTTGATTTTTAAAATTAAAATTACGTAAAGAGAATAATTAATGAAATATTAGTGTTTTATATTTTATGCAAAATAATTTACTAAAATCTCAAATGACGAATTGTAAATTAAAATTTAATGTGTTTTTATTATCGAAAAATTGATTAGCAAAATTAAATTTATAATTTTATTAATTTTCGACACTTTTAATTTAAAGTTAAAATCATTAAATTCCTAATATATCTTCCTTTTTCCCTCCCTCTAAGTCTCGGAAATCTAATTTGTATAAATATGAACAAGACTTAAAAATTAGTTTGCCAAAAAAGTTTCTTCTTACATGTGTACTTTGTACGCTAGCACTTTTTTTTAGTTTAAACAAGCCTCTTTAAACAGAAAAGATTCTCTCAGTTCTTAAAGTAATTACGTACAGGCATTGATCCATAGCATCAAACCATTATTATAACCTTTATTTTTTATTAGATTGTTTGAAGCAACTCAATCAATTACGAAACAAAATTCTTCTTTGTGATAGAAAATACAATGTTAATATTCATACCAATATTTAAGTTTTAGAGCTTTTAGTGATGGCAGTAATATTTTATGAGATGCCTCGTTCCGTCAGCGAAGTGATCACAAAAATATACAATATACAACTTTGTCTTAAATATATTACACTCGAATGAAACGAGTATAAGGAATTGAATAAAGAATTCATATAAATCCGCATGTGGATTACCTATTGCACTATTAGTTTTCAATGTAGGAAAATCGGCATTTTACTTGCCTATATGAAAATTTATCAATAAAGCAGACAAAGAAATGACTTCATGGAATTTAATATTAACACTGAAAATATTTAAAAAATGAAAAACGGCTTAATGTAGAAAGTTTCCAATACTTTTATTGTTCTCCGAAGTAATCTCCGTTCCTCTCTACACATCGTCGCATTCGATGGAACCTTCCTTAGGGGTCTCTTCTATGGAATTTCCGTAAGCATCCTTAAGCTTTGTTGTTGAGTAAGCCCACAACGAAAGCCATAATAAATCATTGGGCGAAAATTTTCTCGCGTTAGGTTCATTTTCACGTGTAACAAGAGTTTTAGATTTGCCAATTCACAAAAACAAATAACAAATGAATGCAATATACTACATTAGGTTACCAAAGAATTCTAAAATTGAAATTCAAAAAAGTTTCTAACTGGCCAATTCTAAACATTTTCAGTGTTACCCACGAATTAGACCTTTCGTATTCTGTAAACGTTAATTATCAAATTCACTTACATATCAACTTGTACGTTTTCGTCAAAAGCAGAGAAGGGTGACGTGAGTTCAGGCTGACTTCCCTTTGAAATTCAGTTACGGAATCGCAGGGCTTGTCAATATCAATCATTGAATGATTGGATTGATAAAAAAAATTGACAGAAAGCAACGAGTACTTTAAAACAATGAAGTACCTTTTAGAATATGTTTTAGTTGTTTTGTTTTTTATAATTATTATACATACTCAGGGTGTGGCGTATTGAATGGATAAGATGTGATGATAATAAGGGTACCTACGAAAAGAGTTGTGTTCCTAGATAATAAAATCAGTGGCGCTACAACCTCTTTAGGACTGGGCCTCAGATTTTTTAATCTGTTTCATGATCATTTTTAAATCTAATAGGCAAGTAGGTGATCAGCCTCCAGTGCCTGACACACGCCGTCGTCTTTTTGGGTCTCAGACATGTCGGTTTCCTCACGATGTTTTCCTTCACCGTTCGAGCAAATGTTAAATGCGCACATAGAAAGAAAGTCCATTGGTGCATAGCCGGGGATCGAACCTACGACCTCAGGTATGAGAGCCGCACGCTGAAGCCACTAGGCCAACACTGCTTTAACAAATGATCATGAAACAGATACATTTTCTGAGGTCCACTGATTTATTTTATTATTCATATGTTACGAAATTACTTACGTAATTTTGGTTTTACCAACAATCGTATTGCGACATGTTAATAACCTTTATTTTAACGAAAGACTTTAAACATATTAAAATTGAATTGCAAAGGTTACGTAATATCAATCATTATTGTAGTATAGGCAGACGATAATGATGTCTTAACTCTTCCTCTACAAGAATAAAACAAATAATACTAATATTTTAGCGTTGAAAATATAAATGAGTTTCGAGAATCGCTCCAATACTATGAATCCAAAATAAAACCTTATAGTTTGTATTAAACAATATCCAAGCTACTAACATTCATTATAAATCAGGTTTCGTTTTAATAGTATTCATATAATATATTTTTAAATTGATATTTTTATTTTAAAACAAACAGCTCTCCAAGATTTGGACTATGGGCCATCAAGGGAAAGTACCTTAAATAAGTAGATTGGATATTTTGCTGAAGTAAGACTATTTTATTTTGAAAAGCAAGTACTACTGCATTCAATGATTTTCTAAAAATTACTTGCCTCCTCTGGGAATCGAACTTAAAAACGGGGTTTTAAGTAGGCATGTTAGAAATGAAGGGGCATGCTTTGTGTTAGTTCAATAATCGTTTACTGTCTACACGCGAGCGGGGGTTGATCTGCCCTGCGATTCTGTAACTCACTTTTCGAAGCGACCGCCTGCGTTCGATGATTAATCCGCAGGTGCTATTTACAGATACTGTCTACGATGAGGTCATAGGTTCGATCCCCGGCTGTGTGAGCATCTGAAACTCGCTCGCACTGTGAAGAAAAACATCGTGAGGAACCGGCAGCAACACAAAAGGCTGATCACGTATTTTTCTATGGAGTAAAAATAGTTAAAGAAACGGATGCAATCTAAGGACAAAGAGATAGAGTTGCCACTGGATTATTATCTTTTTTTCTATCACATAATAGTTTTATATTGTATGTAATTTTTTCAATAATTTTTCATACGTAAATTTAGAATTGAATTGTTTTAACAATACTCTTCACCGCGGCGATATTTTGACAGAAAGTAATGAATCTTGAAGGTCGCTCTTGTCATTCTACTTAAACACCGACCGATCAAGGATTATTATGCAATTTTTGTTTTGTGTGTTTTTTGTTTGGTCTCTAAAAACGTTTTTTGACCGAACATTATTCCTTAATCTGTGGCAGTACAATCATAATAAAACTACGCAAATATTGCAAATTAAGTTTTGATCAGATATAGTCACAGGATTTGAACTGCTTTGTCACCACGCTAGGTTGTGCTGTCAAATGCGTCAGAAACTGACAATTATGACAGTAAATTAATTAATTTTTAATTGTAGTTATTGTAGGTGAGACGCGTGAATATATACGAATAAATGTATATTTTTAATTAATTTAAATAAGTAATTAAATGACCTCCTCTTGCAACGATGTCGGTAGAGTCTAAGCAGAAATTCATATTTTTCTAATAACTGCAATAATACTTGACTTACTACTAACCAAAAGCATGCTCTTTTGTTTTTATTTTCTTCGACAATGCCTTAACATTATCTAGTGGCCAGTAATAATTAAAACCTTAAGTAAAAAGTTTAGTTCTACTTTAAAGTTTTGCCCGTAATTGTTTTGACGTTTATTATATAAGTTACAAACAGATTATTATACCTAGAAAGTGAATTATCAAGCAGTAATAGGTTCCCAATTTTCAGTATATTTCTATGATAAGGTCTACAAAACATGATCGTCACACAATTTCATTTTTACTGCTATAACGGCCAACTTGATGTCGTATTCCTTAAATGGAATGAAGTTTACTTTAATATATAATCGTTCCGTGGCCTGTTTGATATCTTGAAAATACGATTCTCATTTCTTTCAGAAATAGAGACTGCTTAAAATCGTAAAGAAATTGATTTTGTTGTTATATGAGGGTAGTTCTTGGTTATTAGGTGCTATTATTTATTGATTAACAATCCGTTGCAAGTATACAGAAATATAGTACATTTAAAATGATTAAATAAAAAGGTTACTGGCTTTATCGCTTTCGAGCGATCTCATCCAGGCAACCACTGTGAGAAAAAATAATAAAATTAGATAAGGTGACTTGATAAGTGGGTAGTTGCAAGATAATTTAACGGACTCCAAATAATACCTCTTTTAATATATCTATAATGACATAACGTAATTTACATTAAATTCTTAAAAATATATTACAGTTTGATGTTGTCTATTTTTTTTACTAACACCGTCGTTGATTTCATTTGTCCGTTAAAGTTGAGATGTGTTCCTACTTTGTACCTATCGCTTTAACATTGTAAACCAATGATTATGATTTGTTTATTATTTTCTTTTTATCTTTGATTTATTAGTTAACTTATTTTTTCTAAAGTACTCGTATTATATAATTGTAATGAATGTCGACGCTTCGCTGGATGGAGAAATTGTGACCACTTTGTTATATATATAAATTAATTTTTGTCTCTATGAAAACAGCATCTATTCTCAATAACATTTCGTGTATTTACATTCCCGCGAATGCGAAAATGCGAAGACAATAAATTTCATAAATATAAGTAACATGCTACATTTACTTTGACAGTTCCACCAGACATCCTGGACTATCCGACGAGCAGTGACCAGGTGGCAAGGGAAGGAGCAAACGTTTCACTTCGGTGTGCCGCCCACGGGGTTCCCACCCCCACAGTCGTGTGGAGGAAGGAGGCAGGAGACTTACTACCCACCGCCAACTTCAGCGACGCGCAAAGTGAGGAAATTTTCTATTATTCCACAAACTATTGTGCCTTTAACTGTTTCATATTTCTACAAATGTAATTGAAAAATAAATTAAAGGCGTCCCGATAAAAAAATAACTAATTAAATACACCAAACGGTTTAATAATGTTCAATGTAATATTCTCGTATCCATTTGTACTATTTTTGTATTAGTTTTAAAATTGTTATTACTGTACTTGATAAGCAACTACTAAAAAGTTTGAACGAATGTTTAGGTATAACTATTCACGATAAATATACCAAAGTATGGAACCGAAATGCCGTATACTTGTTACACATTTATTTATTTAAGCCTTTATTGCTGGCACCCAGTACAATGTAATAACAATTATTTAAGTTACATAAAAAAAACACTTAATTCTAATACATAAATAAAACTTAATCTAATACGTCACTTGACCTGTTTTAGGTAGTCAGCGTGTCCTGTGACACATAGATCTCTTCCAGCTGTTTCCATTATTTTCTGATAGATTAGCTCTTCTTGTCCAAGTTGTGCCTCCTATTATCTTTATATCGTCTGCCCATCTCTTGCTCTGTGGGCCACCCAGTGGTGGGTCTCTTGCCGTTTGTTACACATAGGGTAAAATAAAACAAAAGAACCAAAGCGTAGTACAAATTTTAATCAGAGATTTTTCTAACCCTATTTATTGTTTTAATTGTATTACCATCACATGCCATTCCTAAACAGTCCCATAGCCTACCTTGTCCAAGCCTTTTTCTATTTTGTTTTCGGTCATTTAGTCCAAAATTATGATAAATCATTAGTAATGAAAAACACAAAGGTAGTGTTAACGTGACAAAGCCATAAAAATATCCCGCCGTTATTCAAAACAAAAAGAGAAATCTGCGTAAAAGCGCAGTAACTTTTACGAATTACCCTTTAAAAAATAAAGCATTGAGGCAACCGCACAGTATATTTTATAGCCAGAAACAGAAAGTGTGATTTCTGATAAAAATAATTTGCGCAATAAACACCAAGTTTTATATTTAAGACTTTAAACACCAAATGAGTTCAGGTACTTTTTGGTTTATCATAAAAGCTTTCTTAAGTCGAAGAACAAAATTAGTGGTACCTTTTTTGATCTTATTATATAAGTAAGTCAGTAATATAAGATTCTTTCAGGGTTGACACACTGTAGTTTTAATTATATTTTAAATATGCGATGAAGATACGAAAACTTTTTAAAAATAACATTTTCTAATGTTAAAACTTAAGACTGATTATCATGCATTTTGTTAAACAGATTTTATGAGAAGTAAGTTTTTTTTTCAACGTATACTTATTATCACAACTATAAATCCTTAAAATAATACAATAAAAAATCGTGCCGCTAAACCCCTTTAGGTCTTGGCCTCAGTCTGATCTGTTTCATTCACATTTGTTAAATATAGGAATTGGGGGGGGGGGGGAAAACCCCCAAAAAAAAACCGCGGGCCCGGGTTTTGGGTCTAAGATCTTTGGTCATGTCGTTTTCTTGACGATGTTTTCCTTCACCGTTCGAGCAAATGTTAAATGCGTACATAGAAAGAAAGTCCATTGGTGCACAGCCGGGGAACGGAAAACAACACTGCTCAAAAAATTGCTTTGAGAATTCACTTGCTTCATACATAATAATAAACATAGATTTATGAAAGTAATTGTTATAAGATCCATAGCCAAGCCAAAAGAAGGTTTTAAATCTGGATTCATTAAAGTAATTGTTTCACCTTGGTAGGTACAAAATGCTGACCGTGTACAACAAAAACAGATCTGTCCCATGCCCCTAGGGTTAGAGGACTTCACGTACGCCAGGTTAGAATTTAAATAACTTAAATCTTGCGTCGTACAGGAAAGATCTCCTCCGTAGAGACACATAATGGTGAATGTTTCCGTCTCAACGTATTTTATTTTATTTTTTACGTTAAAATACACTAAATGACATTGTAAATCTTAAATTAAGTATTTAAAAATTATATGAAGGTATATAGTATAGATCGGAATCTATAATAATAATAAATCGTTTATTTGCAACGAATGTGGTATGCAAATGTCATATTAATTATGATTATGTCATATTAAAAAGAATAGTTAAGTTATTTATAATTGTTGTCAAACCTTATGGTCTAAATACTATCCCACGCTATAAAAACCTTAAACACACTTATCAGTAAAATTTGAATAAAATTAAACTAACATTTTATTTTAAGTAAGTTTCAACACGAAAAGTTTTATTATATCAGTTTAATTTATTTGATTAATATTTGTGTATTAATAGATATGCTAATGAAATGTATTTAAAGTAAATGTAGAAAATCTCTAAAATATCGGATCAGGTCGGATTTAATTAAAAATTGATTACAATGTATTTTTTTTACTCTTGTTATCGGTCTGTCTGTTTGATTAGTGGTATAGTCGTGACTCTCATCCCTTTGGTTGTAGATTCGAACCTCAGCTATGTACATTTAACTGTACTGTAAAAGAAAACATCGTGAGGAAACCGACTTACCTTAGACCCAAAAAGTCGAAGGCGTGTATCAGGCACAGAAGGCTCACGTACTCGTCTATTAGAAGAACAAATGAAACAGATACAGAAATCTAAGGCCCAGTCCTAAATGGATGTAGTGCTACTGGTTTTTGGTTCTCAATACTCTTAAAGGATCTTGAGTTCCGATTAGTATCTGTTGGTAATATGTTTGTGTCTTAGGGTAAGATTCAGAGTCAAACAAACAAACAACTCAACAACTTATTAGATTTTGTTCCTTTAGCTCTAAGACTTACCAGTTTCGATATTTTCCTCCACCGTATAAAGAAACTACACTACACGAACCACATCAGTGAAGCAATACGCTGGGAAAAAAAATTATTTAATTTAGAATTATTCGAAACTTTTCAATTCATGTTTTTACAGTTAATTTAGAGCTTTAGTCAAGTTTAGAGTACATGACACTGGTGTCTAGAAACACAAAAGTATGTTTCTGTCATAAAGTTTCCGTGGGTACATGAATGATAAATATTCTTAGATATTGCTACAAAAATTTAATCCCAACGTTTGAATTTAACGATACTAAGCCGATTTCGTCTGCCTGAATTTTGCTTCGCATCGGATAAATGATTACAGTCCGAACATAACGGTACACATATCTGTGTCTGTTTATTATCTAATAAGATGTGACATTGTGACTGCCGAATACAATTATTATTGCGCCGGGAATCACATCGAACACATCTTAATTATATTGAACTTGTATTAGCCATAAGAATAGTTACTAACATACCAACAGATCATGGTAGTATCTGTTCCTAATTTTACCCCATTATACAAAATAAAAGTGCGTGCGTACAAAGTACACGTGTCAGAAGTGAAACTTCTTTAGCAAACTAATTTTTATCTCTTATTCAACTACAAATCTAAAACTTTAGATTTCTGAGACTTAGAGGGAGGGAAAAAGGACGATTTAGAGTTAGTAGTTAGGAATTTATTGAATTTAACTGTCATTAAAATATGAAGTGTCGCAAATGAATACAAATAATAAATGTAATTTTTTGAATTTATTTCTTTGGTAATAAAACACGTGGCATTTTAATTTACAATTCGTCAATTGAGATTTCATAAAATATAAATTACTAATATTTAATAAATTCTCTTTACGAAATTTTAATTTTAAAAATAGAATTTCTTTAAGGTAATTCGTCCTTTTCACACTCTCTTAATCGGTCTTATCGCTCTCTCCCTTCCGACAAAACGCTGCACATCTTCGTGACGTTCCGTAAAAATTTACCCTCATGCGGCTAAAGAAGTTTCACTTCTTTCATATAACTTTCCCTATAGATTTCTTGATTAAAGACAAGACATTTTTCAGACACATCTGTGAGTGGCGCCGTATTGCACCTGGTGAAGGTATCAAGACTGCATATGGGAGCATATCTTTGCATCGCAAGCAATGGAGTCCCGCCCTCCGTGAGCAAGCGAGTCATGCTTGTCGTGCACTGTGAGTTACCACGCGATCCTTCAACTTACTGCCACTGATAAATGTCCCAACAATTTGTTCTCTTATCGCTGGAAAGTTTATACACAATTCTCGGTATTTTGATATTGTTAAATGCTAACACTTGCCTACGCTTTGAAGCTGCGGGAACATCAAAGTTTGATATTATTTTAGTTGTTTGTAATTCGAAGGCTAACACACATCTGCGTCTGATTCATGGATTATTCAAGGTAACCAACCAGCCCTTCCCTTACCCTTAGAAAGGATTCTACAATCGTTATTCATACATCCTGCATGTTTAAAAGGAAATGGTAGGAGTTAAAGAATCAAATTTTTGTATACGCTATGTAAGCCTTGGAGACGGTATAATGACTCCGTAATAATTTATTTTATAACAGGTGTCTCAAAAGAAAGTTTACATTTATTTATTTAAAGTTATGTGAAAATGTTAGACGACTTCTTGGTGCCTGAACTTCAAAACTTGCCGGGCTATAACCAAAGAACATAGTTCCAGGACGGAGTAACGTCACACACGTCCAATACGTCTCTACCACGAGTTCGTGAAATTTTCTCATTCAAATTGATCTCCAGGAGAGGTGACATAAATTGGCCTACACGCAGTCCTGATTTACCCCTATAGATTTTTTCTTATGGGGTTATCTTAGAACTAAATACGCCAATAAGCCGACTTCTCTGGCGCAATTTTTAATCGACTAAATATGAGCTTCCTTTTTAGACACCCTTTTAGAATGGTGATGTAAATAGAACATTTTTATTAGGTCATTAAAATTGTTCCCAAAGCAGTTAACTGAACAGCGAATTGATACTTGTTTTGATTTATTGCAGTTCCGCCAATAATGACAATACAAAACCAATTAGTAGGGGCTAAGGAAAGCGATACTGTATATTTAGACTGCCATTCCGAAGCATTCCCGAGGTCTATAAACTATTGGACGATTAACGATCAAATAATATCACAGAGTAAGTATCTATAGTTAACTAGGTTATGGCCGAATATCGTTTGTATTCTAAAAGCCCAATGATACAACATTCCCGAGTATGCGATCTGCCTTCTGCCTTTTCTGCCATTCTTTAGTGCGAAACCATTATACTGTTTCGATAATCGAGTAAAGCTTAAGCTTTAAACAAAGTCCAAAGCTTTTACTGTAGCGACTGTAATTGCTAATCGTTTCATATATCATTTACGTAGATTTGTGTAATACTTTTCTTATACCTCGGAAGAGTCTGATCATCCACACAATAATATCTAAGGAGACCGGCTTTAATTAATAAAGTTTTTTATATGGCAGTTTATATTACTGTAGTTCTATAATATATGAAACACACGATTATTACACGACGAAATGTTCAATTGTGATTCCCAAGTCATTATTATTATTAAAAATATTTAAAGTATTAAGGGTTTCCTGATTAGACTTTGACGTTGTTACTTTTTGAGCTCTGTAACATACAATGACATTGGCAGCTGACAGTAATTCCATTGCACAAGTAGTATGTCCATTTTTATCTGTGCATTTATCATTAAGATTTATACGTAGTAAATAATAAGTTGATAGATCTTTCATCTGTAATGATTTTTAAATTTAAATGGCACCCACTCATAGGCAATTAACAGCGAAATAAAGCCATCTAAAAATAGTAAATTAAATTTGTTTTGTTTCTCCCTTTCAATTAGTGTTAGTTGTAGAAAAAAATTGTGTCTAATTAATATATTGTCACAGGTGAATTACATATTAGATTTTAGAATCTCTTTGTTATAAGTAATGTATTTTATTGACGTACCCTTGAGTCGAGCGTTTATAACACGGAAGTATAATATTTTTTTATAAACGCAATATATAACTTATAACAAGAAAACCTTCTGAGAAAAAGAATGACCAAGGAAACAGCTATAGAAATCTAAAGCCCATACTAAGATCCAGAGTCTAGACCAGTGATTCCCAAAGTGGTCTATATCGACCCCTAGGGGTCTATGACAACATGCAAGGGGTCTACGTCAGCGAAAAAAAATCTGGGGGTCCATGAAATGAAAATGGGGGTCCACGGTAGTGGATCTCAACACATACACTGATAGTACCTATTTACTTACATCATACTATCTTATAATATCAAAACATATACATTATTTATAAAAGTACCTATATATCAGATAAAAAAAAATATTTTGAGTAGTTTTAATTTAAATACAATTAATAAATGTATAAATTAACATGTGTTTTTACAATAAGTTTTTAACACTAAACTTCACTACAGTTAGAAATTTACAGGAAATCAATATCAGGTAAGTAGGGGGTCTACCCAACACGGAAAAACATGGCAAGGGGTCTACGACACAAAAAAGTTTGGGGAACTCTGGTCTAGACTAAGCACTAAAGTATGACTCCTATATGTCGAAACAATCAATGTTTTTTTGACTTTAAGTCTTGACTCTCATTTTGAATCTGTAGGATAGATACGCGTGGCATGAATAATTATCTATTCTGACTTTTTGTGTTGTGTGTGTGTCCATGTTACTAAGCAAGATTGTTGTTACTAATACCACATCAAATTATACTTTGTTGTAGCTGACAAAAGGTTCGAAATTACGGCCGTAGAGAGGGGCTATGAAGTGGACATGAAATTAAAAATTAAGAAAGTTGGCAGAAACACTTTCGGAACGTACAGCTGTATTTCAAAAAACTCGCTTGGAGACACCGATGGAACGATTAAATTATATTGTAAGTTACTTTATTATATACTAACTGTCACGATGTTATATAGCATAAAACTCTTCTCGGTTAAATGCATAAATAATATTTTGTGTTAGACATAATATGGTATCGCGGACTTATTTTGTAGTTTGTCTATAAAACTTTGCTCTATCGTCAATAGTTCCGCGATTTAGAAATGTAATACACATTTCTAAATCACACCTTTTTTAAAAATTCAATGGCCTATGTTCATCAGGGATAACATAGGGTTCAGGGATAACTAATGGTGAAAGAATTTTTTAAATCAGTACTTTAGTTTTGGAGCCTAATCAATGCAAACAATCTTAATAATAATAGTATAAATCTAATATATAAAATTCTCGTGTCACAATGTTCGTTCCCATACTCCTCCGAAACGGCTCGACCGATTGATGAAATTTTTTATGCATATTCAGTAAGTCTGAGAATCGGCTATTATATATATCTTATATCTTTCAAACCCTTAAGTGATAAGGGATGTCCACCCCAAAAAATATTTTTTTATTTTTATGATACAGCATACAAAAATACATACAACCCCTAATTTTCACCCCTCTACGATCAACCCCGATTGTTTAATATTGTAGATAGTTATACTTATTGAACTAAAAAAATGTTTCCTAGAAATAATATACATGGCATAACAAATGTTTAGAGGGTCAGCTAGTAATATATATTATTATTATATTTGGTAGTGGGCACTAGTGAGTGAATTAAAAAAAGTTAAACAACTATTAGGTTATATTACCTAATCCGCACTAGGTAAATAAGTAAATCTCTAATTATAAAGAAATTTAAAATTTGTACTTATTTTTTTTCTTTATTATTTTTGCAAGTAAAATAATAGTTAAAAAATATTATCGTTAACGTTATTAATTTATTTAGAATTTGTTTGTAATTTACTCTAAAGAAAATTGTATTTGTGATGTTTATCAAAACAAAATACAATTTTATCTAATTGGAGTGCCGTATTTACAACAATTATTGTTCGTTTTTCTTGTTTGCGTACAGTCTGCATGATTCAAGGTTTGTTAGATAAAAATCAAAAGAAATTGGAAAGTCTACTAACTATCTGACTTGTACTAAGTAAATAAAAATCCGGGAGAATTCATAACATTGGTCAAGACTATATACCAATATCCGAAACCTTATAAAATATTATTTTAATTTTGAGCGAGGGATTATTTAAAACAGTTCATATATAAACCACATAAGTACATAGTTTATAAATACTTAAGTACTTTTGATAAAAACAACCTTTGTTTTTATCAAAAGATTCTTTGTTATCAAGATGCATTTGAGCTATTTAAATATTCTAAATAATAATATATTTTAATTACCTGACCAACCCCATATAAACCACATTTAGTCAATGCAAAAGCCGTGTAAGCGACGCTTTTGATATGCAAACTAGTAGAGTAAATTTTCTAAAATAATATCAGTAAAATCGTTATATTCTAGTTTTAGCTTGCCTATATTCTAAATTAGTTAAAATGGAATCCAATATTATAGTAATCTAGTGTAGTTCGTCCATATTTATCACGTATCTAGTGGTAATGTTAGAATCTAAATCGATTGTTTCTTTTAAGTGTGATTGGTTATCTGTAGACTAATCATAGACGTACAGAACGTCCGTTTAAAGTCTGTAGGATTTTAGGCCGAATCAGTGATAAATTACCTTTGTTGTTGACAATTGACAACACTCATGTCATTGTAGTTTGACAGTTTATATCTTGGGGCTTAGTCAAGATACCTTAACAGTAGTGTATGTAGAAAGTTTAAAACTAAATTTGTATGAAAATTTGTCGACACGAACTGTCATTTTAATACAAATGTAGTTTTCGACTATCTACTAAACCAAGACTAAGCCCCCTTGATACTTAACATTATTTTTTGTGACTAATTAAAATGACGCGTGACACGAATGACGTTTAACCGTTACTCCGTTTCTCTTTCCGCACAGACTAACAAATAACAATTAACGCCACCATGTCGCTCGTTTTGCATTATTAAATTTCAAACCTCATGTATGCTCTTCAGATAATATAATTTTAATAGTAGTACATAATTAGTAAATCATATTTTTAATCGTACCCAATTCATTTCCATCCCCGTATACTGTAGTAATAATTCTTACACGATAAGAGATATAAGGAGAAAAAATGTGGTTCTAAGAAACTTAAATTAGTATTTGATTCGTATTAAGGGTGCACGCATACAAACTTTGTAACAAATAAGTTTCATTATACAAGGATTATTGTCGTCGGTCAATAGCACGCAATTCTTTTAATCATTTACTTTATATAGATTTTTACTTGGAAAAACTTTCATGTATAGTTTGAAATATTAATTATTATTTGTTTAATTAATCAGTTTTTATAAGTTTGTCTAATAACGAACTTATTTGGTTTCTGTTTTGTATATATTGTTTATCTATATGATCTGAAGAAGGTATTGTCGAAGTGTTTTGTTTTATAAATGTAGTAGCTGTCGATTACTAATAATTTAATTAATAAATAACATACACACTTAATACAAAATATATAAAGACCTCGTCTAAGCCTAAGTTCAACAATACCAAGACATTATTAATTTATTATGAGATATTATTGCCGAGACAAAAATTTATAGACTTACTGTAAAGACCAGAGCAATACGTAAAATCGAATTGCTAATTAAGAAAAATAACGATACAATTAAAATACAAACAACGTAGGCGTATTTGAATTCAAACACGAAACGCTAGTATCTGTATAACGTGTACTAAGCTATAAATATGTGTGTATAGTACCGAGTTTGTACTTTCAAACTGTCAAAAACTTAATGTATCGTATTGACGTATATATATACGAATACTTGACAAAACTATCGTAAAGTTCGTGCCTCTGGGATTCTAGGTATTTCCATCCAGACGCCTTCGCCCCGCCTTTAACGACCTCCAATATGGACAATATATTTGTTTGTTTAAATACGCTCCGTCTATTTATTGAGACTATATACGCTACGACCGAATGAAACAGTGATAAATATTTTTTACAGCCCTCTCGGGAAAGTTTGAAGAGATGCAGTACAATGATGTAGATTTTGAGGAGACTCCAGATGTTAGCGAATTAGAAGCATTGAAACGAAGTGACGGAGTTAGAAATAATGTTCATGTGCTATTAATATTAGCTCTTCTAGTCATATCATAATGCTATTTGTATATACAATAAATTGTTACATTAAACTTTTTGATGATGTATTTTTTCATTGTTATCCCATTCAGCGAGAAATAACAGTAAATGCTTCATGAAGTTAGTTTACAACTAGTCTGGCCATAAATACTGTAACATAAAAACTTTCAACTTTTTAATTATTTTGAATTTGGAACACGTATATTATTTTAAAAACTTCTTTCAATTTTGCGCCATTTCACATATATTTTTCGTGTTAATTATCAAATTACAATATGGGGTGTCATTCCAGAGACATCAAACGCTTGGTATCAGCCGTATGTTCGTATATCGTACTATCAACAGATACAACAACCCTTCGTCGGTCGAAGACCAGAATAAATCGGCGCGGCAGCGATGTTAGAACTACAGAGGCTGTTAATGCTGTTAAAGCTAGAATTAGTCGAAACCCCATTAGAAAGAAAATATTTTTTTATTTTTTGCTGAGACTAATATAAATATGTAGGAATAAATTTAAATAATATACATACTTCATTTAAAAAAATGCATTGTCATTTGTAACAGAACTTATGGCTGGACTAGGTATAATGGAGGTAATGCGGTTCTGTGTTCATTTCCCATCGAAACATTTATTATATTACATGAACATTGTACTTTTTTTTATGAAATCACAGCCATGCTTGAGAGAAGGTAAGAGTCCAAGAGTATTTTGTCACATTTATTGATTTGTAAAGTGAATTGTTACCGAGGTTACCGCTCCTTTTATATTTAGAGTTTATAGTAAGGCTTTTGAAGGTCAGAGTACCGTAAAAATAGCTAACCGATGACCCCTATATTAAAACTTTAATGTGTCAAAAAACCTAGTCAACAGTTAATGTTCGTAATTTTATAAGTGTTTCAAAACTTTAGCTTAAGGAATTTTATCAAGAATTCTAAGCGCTTTTGAACGTATCGGTGAAACTAGTTTAATCCATATAAGCTTTGAGGAAAGTGATAAGAGACTATTAACTTAATACTTTTAGTGCATTCATTCCAAATATTGTTATACGGTTTTCTTCTATATTAAAAAAAAACAAAATTCATAAATATAAAATAATTACGTCTTAAGTGTTCATATTGATTCTATAAGTCTTGATTGCTGGCCCATTCATTTTGAACTATATTCAAGATAATGAATCAGAAAAAACATGCTGAGTTTTATCATATGGGAACTTAGCGTGTAATCGCGACTCTGAATATAATTAATGTAAGACTAAGAGAAAGAATACCATGATTAAAACATATTTGGTAAAACTGTCAAAAATATAACTAACTATATACATCAAGTATAGAAAACATTAACAAGACACACCAAATACTGGTATATCAAGCAATCAATCACATGCCTTAATTAGCACCAGTAGTGTGTAACTTCTAGACATAGCGATTGCGATCATTACGGATATTATATGGAACCAGCTGGCCACTGGGTTTTTTCGGAACCAGTAGAACAAGGAAAGTCGATCCTTCAAGAAAAGAGGCAATTCTTAAAAGGCCGGCAACGCACTCGCGAGCTCTCTGGCATTGAGACTGGCCATGCGTTATAACTTCACATCAGGTGAGCCTTCTGCCGGTATGCGTCCTGTTCTATAATAAATATTGAAAGAACTATCGAAAATGTATATTGGTATTGATAGATACACAGTACCGGGGCTGAGGCAATTCATAAAGGGGTGTAGCATACATACACCTGTACAATACATACCGGATTTCAACTCATAAATAAAACTGGATAAACTCGTAAATAAAAGGAATCAGTATAAGTAATTTAAAATTAAAATAAATCTAGCATCTAGCTGTATTAAGTGTTTAAAAACCTCTTATTTCGCAGTGAAACTTTAATGGGCCGCTTTACTTGTGCAAATTACCTTAACGTTTAATTTCTTAACAAACACTTCATCCTCACTTACCTTTGTCTACTTTTATATTTAACTTTTAAAACAACCTGAAAGTTTCGGTGGTGCTCCTCCCTTAATGATGTGTTAAAACGAAAAGTTTTAATGATATTTTATGATACATTTTGGTAAAGTTTTAATTAGAAATTGTCATAAATTGTCTATAAATATCGTCTAAGTAATTCTATAGATTCTGTTTTTATAAGCTAAGTATTTCTTTTTCTATATCATATAGTTTTATCAGAAACTAACTGGCCTGGCGAACATAGTACCGCCTAACAGTCGATTCTTTATTTTTTTTAAATACTTATTCTGCTATTCGGGACACCGGTCTAGCTAGTAAGTTAAAAAAAAAAGTTGATAAGACAACAAATACATTATATCAAAAAATAAAAAATTACCTTCCCGGAACCCCTCCACTAACACTTGAACTTTATGATATCGTATTAAAGTTCAAATTGACTTTTTAAGTATTATAACGAATATTTTGTATGGAAATATAGAAAAGTGTTGTTTTTAGACTATTTCACTCAATTTTTATAATTTTTTCTCTCCGTAAGAACCATCCTCGTACTTCAAGGAATATTATAAAAAAATAATTGGCCAAATTAGTCCAGGCGTTGTTGAGTTATGCGCTTACCAACACATTTTGCAATTAATTTTTATATTATAGATGTATGTTCCCGAAGCTTTTTATAAAATCAACAGAATATCTATTGCGATATTTGTTTTAAATAAGTGTTGTTTGATGATTTGCTGTTTTAAAAGAGTACCGAGAGTTTTTTACGCCGGCTTTTTCTCTCGGCCTACACCCTCTGTCTTCTTTGCCGATGAGTAGGGATGCCTAAAAGTTCAAATTTAATGACGTGGAATAAGTGATACATGTATCTTATGTTCCATAATAAACATATTTTATTTTATTTTATTGGTAACTGACACCCATGAAATTTTATAAATTTCTTTCACTTATACAGAGTGAATATTGCAAATTTCTGAGGGATAGTATTCAAGAACCTGGTAAATCTGACAACTCTGCGTTATTCACGGTACGATGGCTACCAAAAGGACGTGCTATTATAACTAAATATTATATTTGTTAATAAACGTAGACTTGTGTTTTTTATACAAGAAACTTACGTGAAAGAAACGCGTGATGCGGCAACCTTGTTTGTATTAACAGATACAGGGTTTTTAAGTGAAAGTTACTATAATCAAATCTACTTTTTGTTATCAAATTAACAAATCTATAGAGCTTGGTGTAGCGGCATTTACATTCTACGGCTGCAATCACAGGCCAGCCGCTAAGGATATACACAAATTCTCGACCTGAGTCACTGGAGCACACATCTCTCCTCCACATTAGTATTAATTTAAACCGCTTTTGTTGGCAAATACTCCTGCGAATATGCATAATAAAATTAACTTGATTTCTTATTACGAAATTCGATTTTAATATAGTTTTTCAATGGTATTTACCTTTTAAAATTATGGCCGCAAAGATTTGGTACTGTAAAAAAATTATGGATTTTCAATCTCATCGTCACATTATGTATAGATATCACTGCTTAGACAATAAAACATGTGACAATAACCTCGCTGGGAACAAGACACACGTCCGTTTCCAAAAAGAGTAACGTGGGACCATTTTAATAAATATTGTTTCAAAGAGCCGGCGGCCGTTATATATCACGTCCGAGCTCCGATCTATATTTCATGTTTGTTCGGGCAAGGCCTAGCACCTGCGCTACACTTCGCAAAGGTGAATCCGCGAATCTAAATTTATCAAGAGACGTTCAAAGGTAATGTGACAACTGTCTTCCGAGGGCTCACTCAGGGACTTTCAAACTTATATGATTATACTTATATATAATGTATTGTTTACGTTAATAAAAACACTTTATTGATAAAAATTAGTAGTAATTAAAAGCATACTACTAAAAGCAATTACTGATAATGTAATTTTAAATGTATGTCAAACTGTAAAAGGATTCTTAAAATATAAATAAATAAATAAATATAGCCTTTATTGTCAATCTTGTAAGTTACATTTTATCTTATTTCTACTTAGTTATTAACGAAATTTAGTTAAAGTAAATGTAATAATGTAATATTATAAAAGGATTCTTAAGATCTTTTAAATAAGAGAATATTTAAAAAAAAAAAATATATTATACATACATAAAAAGAGTGGCGGAAAGTTTCTTGCCAGTTCTTCTTCCCTTCTTGACTTGCGAACTGGTAGTAAATGTAAATTAAGAATCAATTTAACACTTTTTCTGTTGACGTTCATTAGTGTACTTGGTTACATATATGAATAAAGTTAGTTTGAGTTTGAGTATATGTTAGATAAGTTAGCATAGTAGGTAAGTTATACGAGTATTCTTAAATATTGTGTTTTATCATTACGATATTCAATTAAATGCAAAACTTTAAATATGTTTAGGATAACTAGTAACTACTAAACAATCTCTTCCTCTAATGTAACTGATGTCTTGGCAACTTGGTCAGCAGGTTAGGACCTAGAAAGGATTATATTCATTTAACAATAAGACCATTTCTTACAATTTACAAACACGCAAAAATGTATAATTTTCTGCATATGCAATTGCGTACAAAGAGCTGGCCGCGGCTGCCGGATTGTATAATTGAATACGAATTGTCCATAAATCAAATTGAATTAAATCCGAGGTACCTTAACAGGTCGAGATTTTTTGTCTCAGATGTATAATAAGATTGTAATTTGTAGAATTTTGTGGAATGACGGCAGATACTGACGCGACTTGCCACCCTGGTGTCGCTCCGCTGTGTATCAACGTTTGCGTACCTCGTGTGGACTGCCTTATGCTCTGACACTGAAACAAATTAATAAATGCTTATTCATTCTATGCTATGCTTATAATTCTGAAGAGAGTGCCTGCGTCTGGCTATGCTCTTGGGGCGTTATTCCGATGATTTAAGTAATCGCCACGCTTATAAAACTAAAAAAGCCTGATTAAGCAAAATTTACATCCTTGCTTTAGAGCTTAAAATTTCCCAAGACATCAACTGGCTCTAAAAGTAAACAGGTTCAACTGCAGAACGTGA